AGTCTTTCTTCATTCTTTTTCCTTCGTACTTCTCTTTCCTTTTCTGTTTTGGTTCTTTTTATTTCTGTGTCTTCAAGATTACTTATTCGTTCTTCCATTTCATCTATTCTGCTTTCATTGCTTTTCCCAGAGTTCTTTAGTTCCTCCATTAATTCTTTGATCTCCTGCATTTCTCTTACTTCCCTCTTTAGGGACTCAATTTCCTTCTTCTGATCTATCACTTTTTTAATCATGGCAATTTTAAATTCTCTTTCTGGAAGGCTCAGAAGTTCTTCCAAGTTGCTGTCGTTGCAATCTGGGGAGTGGTTTTCTTTTTGTGGTGTGCTTCTTTCCTGAGGAGTTTTTAGGTTGTGTGTGGTTCTTCTACTCCCTACTGTCTGTTTTCTAATTTGTCGTATGCGTTGGGACACTGTGTTGCTCGGACTGACTGACATCTTGGGTGAACTTCTCCGCTCCCCTCTGGCTCTTCCAGGAGCCATCTCTGTCTTCTGGGGGAGCTTTCTGCTGGTTTTAGGCAGTTTTTACTGAAGAAATGTCCCTGTTCTCAAATGGCGAAGCGGGATGCAGTCCCTGCGCCTCCGGTTTCAGGCACACTCTTCTGCGCCCCGGTCTGCCCGGACGTGGGTGCCTGCTCCCTCTGTGGGCTCAGACTGCTGGTCGGAAGGGGCCTGGCGTGGAATAACTTCCCGGCTGGCCACTGCAGAAGCCTTCTGCCCTTTTCAAGCAGTCTTAAGAAATTTCCTGTTCTATGGGGTGTTAGTGACTTTTTTTTTCCTGGTCACTAGGTGGCGCCAGAGATCTCTCCTATTGTCCTTGGGGGGCTGTTTTTTGTTCCCCCCACCCCGTGGGACAGGGAACAGAGCGGGAATGGTAGGGTACACTTCAACAGCTTTGGGGTGCTGTGTCTGCCTTGTGCCCCACCGTCGTGGAGAACCCACGCCCCGAATTTTCGTGCCCCGGGTCTCAGTTCAAAGCCCTCAGTTCCAGGACGTGGGCTGTAGCCCAGTTCAGTGGCGCGGGAATGGCGCCTTTTGCACCGCTCCCGTGCCTGGGTGCCTGGTTCCTGCTCACTCAGGGAGGGACCTTCACGTCAGTGAGGACCTCCGCGTGTCTCCCCGCAAGCCTAGGTCGTCTCCCCGCAAGCCTAGGTCGCAGGCGCGGGTACCTGGGCAGCCGCGATTCCGGTCTGCACTTGCTTTTCAAGCTCCCCGAGCGCGCCGCTCTCCGCGCCAGCTTACCTGCAGCCCGGGCTGTGTGCGGGTCTCCAGGGGTCTTTGTTCTTCTCTAATGGCGCCCGGAGCCGTTCGCTCACCGCCGCGGTGAATCCTGCAGGGTTCGCCTCAGCTCCTGTTCACGGGGTGTGGTGGCTGCAATAGTTCCTTTCCACTCACAGTCCTGCTTGCTGCGTCGTTTGTTCTTGTTGGTTGTTTTGGTTTGTTGTTTTTCTCCCTCTCTGCCGGTCGGAGAGTGCCGCCTCTGTGGGCGGGGGAGGGGAGCAGGGTTCTGCGCTTCCCTCCCTTCTGGTCCTCTTTTATGGCCACTTTCTTCTTCGGGTAGTTTGGTGGAGTCACCCGTTTATCTTCCGTGTCCCAGTTCTCACTGGGACCTGCCGCTTTTCCTCCCTATTCACTTTTTTTAATGGGAGATCTTACTCGCAGCGTCTCCTCGCCGCCATGTTGCTCCGCCCCCTTCCAAATAAATAAATCTCTTTCTGGACAATATTCTTAATCAAACAAAGATGATTAAGGCTGCAGCCCTCAATTAACTGGTAACCTAAATCCACACGGTGTGACCAGATGAGCTGGAATTCAAATGCAATCAGATGTGCTCCATGTGGCAGTCATGGATGGATCTTGGGATAACTGTGCCACATCTGTGTCACCCAGTCCACGACCAAAAGACAAGCACAGTTTCTTCACGTGTCTCTAGGCTCCACGCGCCTCCTCCAGGTCTCCTGGCTCCATCCTGCTTCCTTCCTTCCTCAGTCTCTTCTCTCTATTGATACTTTTAACATTAGTTCTTCTTACTAGTTCTCAACAGATTTATTATTATGTGTTATATGTTTATCTGCCATTGTTTTGCTTAAAACTCTTTGGCTCTCTTGAATCACAACTTCTGGTTCATTTCCTGGATTAATTGCTTTCAGTGATTGTTTCTTATACAGATTTTCTATGCCATTCTCTTTGTCATTCATTTGGGAATTCCTCTTATCCAGATATTATTTCTCTTTAACTTGTCCTAGAGACTTCCTATACTGTCTCCTTTTTTTAAATTATTTTTTTCTCTACCTTCCTCAATTCCTGTTTCCTCAATATTGTTTTCAAGTTAATTCTCTCCATTGCTTCTGTTTGTCTGATATTAAGACCCTTAATTATATTTTAAAATCAGATATAGTGTTTCTGTTTTAATGATTTATTTATTTATGCATAAAAGAACTGAGAGGTGTGGGGAGTGAGAGGATTCACCAGAGACAGAGTGAGGAACAGAACAGGCAGACTGACTGAAATACATTGCTAAGGGGAGCAGCAGGCATGACAGGAGAGGTCTGCTGCGCCATGTGTGTAGCTCCCTGCCTGGCCAGGGGTCGAACTTGTGTAGCAGAGGCTGCAGACAGCTTCTTAGGTTGCATCTTACCCCCTTGTGCTACCAGGGAGGCCCCAGATACAGTGTTTCTTAACTCCATTATCTATAACTGTAAGTGCCTATATTTTCATAATCTCTATCTTACATCCTTTTATTTTTTAGCTTCAATCAGCATTGCCAGGCCTTGCCCTGAATTCCCCTTTATGCCTTGCTGTATAATTCCACTGAGCCAGGGCTCCTTTCAGGATTTTTTTCTTTTAACATTTTTATTGTGTTTTTCTGTCTTCTCATATTTAATTTTCTGTGGGTTTTAGTTAAGGTAAATGTTCAACTATTATTTTTGTACTTGGAGCAGTTAATGGACTGGTACTGGGTAGGGGTAGTGATTATAAAAGAGGACTGGGACCATTTACATCAGAGGATCACCTCCAGTAGAGCCAGACATTTCAAATTCATTTTGTAAAGTGTTTCAACATTGGGAGGAAGGATAGCAAGTGTTTTAGCGCTCTCACACTGGGATAGATGTTTTCATCTATTTTGGATGTCTCAGGATGGGGTGGGGTGTGGCAGGTGTTTCAAATATCCCAGTGTGGAATTTTTTAGTAGCCTCTTCTTAGGAAGTTCAAATGTCCTGACCTGATTCAAGCTATAGCTATTTTGTGTCATGGGCCTCAGGTTCAAGCCAGTAGTCCTTACGCTGTGCTCTTGCCTCTGGAGTTCTCCAATAATGCTTCCTCCATCAACAAATGCAACAACATTTAACTAAAAAGCTACTACACCATGAGAGAAAATATAACTAAAACAAAGTCTCTCCACTGAATGAGAAAAAAATATTTTCATACCACACAACTGATAAGGGATTGATATCAAATGTTTACAAAGAACTCATACAAAAAGAAAATAAATAACCTAAGTGAGAACTAATAATTCTCCAAAGGAAACATACAAATTTCCAACAGTCACATAAAAAAAAGTTAATCATCAATTATTTTCAGAGAAATGTGAATCAAAACCACAATGGAGTATTATCTCACACCTGTGAGAATGATTCATTTAAAGAGACCAGAAACAATAAATTCCACTCTTGTGGGGACCATAAATTACAAATAGACCTGCCATATGACCCAGGAATCCAACTAATAAGTATCCACGTGAAGAATAAAAAAAAAAAAAACAAAACAACACTAATTTGAGAGCTAACTTTTTATTGTCTATGTGCTTCTGAGAGAACTATTTGGACATCTATGTATACATACATGTAGGTTAAATAATTGTCAGGCTTTTCTGCCCTCCCACCATTAGGATTGATGATGGATCCCTGGGGTCCTGAATGCATGCCTGATGGCAGGCACCTGGAGTGGGTGGCTTTGTGAACCAGCAGAACACCAGAAAAGATCAGGATGGAGAAGTGAAAGAGTAGAACGGACCAGCAGAAGAGAGAGAACAAGACCATGAGAGAACACGAGAGAGCCCAGAAAGAGTGAAGATTTGCCGGGGGCTGGGAGGCATGCCGGCCTGTCTGCCATGTACCTGGTGAAATCCCAATAAAAACCTGCAAAAGCCACTGAGGGCTCCAGACTCCTCCTTCACCTGTCTGCTTGGGCTATAGAAAACCTGCTTACAGGAGGAAGGACACAGAGCAGAATCTCTATGACCCAAGTAGACAGACAAAAGGAGGAGAGAGTCCTGGAGCCCTTGGTGGCTTTTGAAGGCTTTTATTGGGATTTACCAGGTACACAGCAGGCAGAGGTTCTGGGGGGCCGGGAGGCTGGCAGACCTCCCAGCCCCCAGCAAGTCTTCACTCTGGGCTCTCCGGTGTTCTCTGGTGGTCTCTGCTGCTCTGCTTTCTCATGGTTATGCTTCTGCTTCTCTGCTTCTGCTTCTCTGTTTCTTCTCTTGGGTTCTGTTGGTGTCCCCATGTGCCACCCTTAAAAGCCCAGTCTTAGCCCAGGTGAATCTCATCTAGATATGCCCACACCCTACTCCAGGTGCCCGCCATCAGGCATGCATTCAGGACCACAGGGTTCCATCATCTATCCTAATGGCAGGAGGGCAGAAAAGCCTGATGCTTTTACCTTACCCTACACTACCCCTGCAATACCACACACACACACACGTATAGTTATTCCATATATTCCATATCTACTTGTTGGATAATTATAAATGGCAACACAATGACTATCACATGGTTTTGGTGTTAAATGTTCTTGGTTAGGCCACTATTCTGATATGTGTCAGCTGGTGATCCCTATTTTTTTCTATCAATATCAATGCTTTTACCTGTGAAATGGGAATAATAACAATATTTACCTTTCCTTGTTGTGTGCATATAATAAATTAATACTTAGTGGTTTATAAAAATAATCTCTGTCACTTCCAGACCCTAAGTGTGTCATATCTGCATGTTTCTGTTTCAGATTATATGGCACTCCAGACAACATTGATTTCTGGCCTGCCCTAATGGTAGAAGATCTGATCTCTGGAACCCAAGTGGGACCGACACTTATGTGTCTGCTTGTTACACAGTTTCAGCGGCTAAGAGATGGAGACAGGTGATGGATTAACTATTATACTAATCAAAGATAATGAAATTGTTTATTTTTCAATAAATATAGATAGGGCCTCTCCTGGTGGTGCAGGATGTTGAACACCGCACTGTGAAGCTGTCCATAGCCTCTGTAGGGCCACTTCAATCCCAACCAGCCAGGGAGGGTCCCACATGGCGTGGCAGGCCTCTCCTGTTGAGCCCACTGCTCCCCTCAGCAGTGTATTTTGTCATTCTGCCTGTTCTGTTCCCCGCTCTTTCTCTGTTGATTCCTCTCACCATCATGTGCATCTGGGCTGTACCCCAGTTCTTGTATAAATAAATAAATTAATATTTAAAAAAAATAGGTATTATAACATGATAGTGCCATTCCCTATTTTCTATACTTTATATTGAATACAATAAATAATTTTCTTGTAATGATGATACCAAATTGCATTCATATTGTAATTTTTGTAAGGAAGAAAGAAAAGAAACTGTCTAGGCAGGTGGTAGAAGTCAGTGGCTAATAGGATGCAGGAGACTCTCTGCCCTGTGTTTGAATCTGTTCCCTTTTCCATTATAATTGCATTCTAAGCAGCCCCATCTATAAAATCCGTATTAAAATAGTAACTATTGGGCCTTCCCTAGTGGCACAGCGGTTGAATGCTGGTTTGCAAAGCTGCCAGCAGCCTCTGCAGCGCAGGTTCGATCCCCAGCTGCCGGCGAGGGTCCCACATGGTGCGCAGACCTCTCCTGCTGCCCGCTGTTCCCCTCAGCAGTGTATTTCGTCGGTCTGCCTGTTCTATTCCCCAGTCTGGCTCTGGTGAATTCTCTCACCCTCCCACACTTCTGACTGTACCCAGTGCTTGTATAAATAAATAAATAAATCTTTTTAAAAAATAGTAACTGTTGCATAGGATTGTGGCAACTGTAAGTGATGTTGGGAGGATAGGATTTATCAGTTCGTCTGAAACTCCATTCTTCCATTATCACTGAAGAAGATTGTTGACCTGAGACAGAATATCTTACAGAATTTTGTGCTGAGAGTATTTACTAATGGAAAATAATTGCAAAAATCTGTTTGTCCAAAGTGTTTATTGTCAATAAGCTTGTATTTATTAAATTATAGGAGGCAGTTGGTGGAAGAATGCAACTTAGTCATGCATTTTTTTTTAATGTTGAATAAAAGTATAAAAACTAAGAAAATTCAAAACTCTGCAGCCTTCCAGAGTTGGTATGGAATATGGTGTTAGCTCTCTTTTATCACTTGAACCAATTGTATTCCAAATTTGAATTTTCCAAATCATTAATAAAATACAGTTCTAAGAGGCTAAGAGTATTGTGAATTTGGCTGACAATTGAACTTTTTGTATTACAGAAAATTAATACAAAAGACTTTGAAACACTGCCAAGGACTTAGGTGTTTGTTAAAATTTACTAAAGTTTATTCTTTGCTTAAAATATTTCTTCCCAAACTATTTCATATATGAACAGTAAAGAAATAAAATATTTAATTATTTTATTATACATTGGCAAATATTAATAGTATAATATTTTATTTGATGAATTTTTTATAAAATACTTTTAGCACTCTGGATTTTTTGCATCACATACTTTGGCTAACATGTATAATTTATCAATTATAACTTAAGAATAGAGATAATCCAAGCTGAACAAGTTTGAGAAAACTTCATTTTTTGAGTAGGTTGTCTTCCCATGTATATTAGTTTTCTAGGGTTGCCCTAGCAAGGAACTACTGCAGAATGAGTGGCGTAAGTAACATAAACTTACAGTCTCACAGTTCTGGTTGCCAGAAGTCCAAGATCCAGGTCTAGAGGTTTGCTTCCTTCTGAATTCTCATCTTTGCCTTGTAGATGGCCATCTTCTCCCTTTGTCTTCACATGGTCTTCCTTCTGTACCTGGGCCCACATGTGCTTTTCTTATAAGGACACTCATTACATTGGATTATGACCCCCTAATGACATTATTTTTATTTAACTACCTCTTTAAAGATCCTATCTCCACATACAGTTGAATTTTGAGGTATTGCACCTTACGATTTCAATGTATGAGTATATTGGGAAACAATGCATTCCATACTATCATGTGAGTGGCAAGCAGAAACTTCTGCTTCTATCTTAATTTACAATTACATATGTAACTTTAGAAAAAAGCTCTTTGCATAAGGTACTCAAATATTTTTTCAATGAAAACAGGATGAACTTTAATAGTTTTTTAAAATGTATCCTTTCATTTTAAACTGTATGTGTTTATAGCAATTAGTCAATAGATATTATCACTGGTACATATTAAAAATTAAGTGATATTTCCCTTTATTTAAGTATGTCAGTATTAAAGTATTCATATAATTCCTAAGGCCCTAAGGTCAGTGCATGAATTTTAGATTAAGAGTTATGCTTTCCATTTTTTTTATTTTTAAAAGATTTATTTAGTTATGCATACAAGAGCTGGGGTGCAGGCCAGAGGTACGGGTTGGGGTGAGAGGATTCAGAGTGTGGGTAGGGTGGGCAGAGACAGTGTGGGCAGCAGAACAAAGAGATCTGCACTGAAATACACTGCTGAGGGGAGCAGCGGGTGAGCCAGGAACCTTATGATTGAAGCCAGGAACCTTCTGGGTCACCCCCTTGACTGGGGATCGAACTTGTGCTTCAGTGTCTGTGGATAGCTTGTGCTGCGACTTAACTGCTTATGCCACCAGGGAGGCCCCTTTCCTTTTTTTTTTTTTTTTTAAAGAAAAAAACTGGAGTTTTACTGTGAATCATATTCTAAAACATGAACAGAAATTGATAGTTTGAAAGCATTGCATTTAAGAATTTTAAAAATACTGGAGGCAGTTCAAGGTATCCTCAGTTGGAGGGTAAGTGTAATCCTTGACATATGCCTCTTTTTATTCAGCATCCCTGCTCATTATGACTGCTCTGCCTGCTGCCCAGTGAACAGTCTGCAGACCCGACACATTGTACTTTTCTTTTTTGTTCATCAGGTTCTGGTATGAAAACCCTGGAGTGTTTACCCCTGAACAACTCACTCAACTGAAACAGGTATCATTGGGCCGTGTGCTTTGTGACAATGGTGACAACATTCAGCAAATCCAGGAGGATGTCTTCCTGAGGGCAGAATATCCACAGGGGTATGTGAGCTGCACAGAGATACCAAAGGTCAACTTGCGAGTGTGGCAAGACTGCTGTGAAGGTCAGTAATAGCATCACTAACTGGGTCCAGATTTACTGATATGTGTGTGTGTGTGTGTATTTTATTTCCAGTGTCAAAAGTTATGCTATCTAAGTAAAGAAAATAACATAAAAACTTCCGTACCTATTTGGATATCACGTTGAGTTGATAGAAATGATGACAGGAAGGAAGAAAATTATTTTTCTAACCTCTTTTCATTCACACCAGCTTATTAAAAGTGGTGAGGGGGCCTCCCCGATGGCGCAGTGGTTGAGTGCTGGGTTGCGAAGCTGCCCACAGCCTCTGCAGCGCCGGTTTGATCCCCGGCTGCTCCCTGGCCACCAGAGGAGGGTCCCACATGGTGCGCAGACCTCTCCTGCCGCCCGCTGCTCCCCTCAGCAGTGTGCTTTGGTCCTTCTGTCTGCTCTGCTCCCCGCTCTGGCTCTGGTGAATTCTCTCACCTTCCCGCGCTTCTGACTGTACCCAGTGCTTATATAAATAATAAATAAATAAATCTTTAAAAAAAATAGAGTGGTGAGGGGTTTCATTCTTACTGTGGCTCAAATAGCTATACTGAAGATCAAGCTATATTCATTTGGTGCATGATGTATATATTTCCTGGGGGTCAGTTGACCAAAGACAAGAGAAAAAATATCATAGTAAATCTGCTAGCCTAGACTATTAATTCTCCATAAAATGTAGCCATATTCATTGAAAATTGGGGGAGTTATGATAGAGGTAGAAGAAGAACTTTCTTTAGTCAAATAACATCTACCGAATCACTTATAATGAATGAAAATCTACCTAAGGTATTCCATAAACATCTACTGATCGTCAATACCCCTTAAGAAATGTGGTTCTATCCCTTTTAATAGATGAGAAAAGTTATAAAATATAATTCAATCATGAAACAGAACTTAATCTGTAAGTGAAAACAAAGTTTTTATTTAGATTCTTTAGGGGATTGCAATTCTTGGGAAACCCCTCCTTTTTTAAAGATTTATTTTATTTATGCATACAAGAACTGGGGTACAGGCCAGAGGTGTGGGAGTTGAGAGTATTCACCAGAGACAGAGCAGGGAACAGAACAGTCAGATTGACTGAAATACACTGCTGAAGGGAGCAGCGGTTAAGACAGGAGAGGTCTGCTACTCCATGTGGGTTGCTCCCTGGCCGGGGATCGAACTCATGCTGCAGTGGCTGCGGACAGCTTCAGGGAGGCCCCTGAGAAACCCCTCTTGGGCAAGACTGTGTGAGTACTCCCATATGGGGAAAATTACAGAGTTTATATAGTCAGAAGTGCCTCCTACCTGTGGGTCAATACGATTATTTAAAAGCATAAAAATTGTGCAAACAGGGGATGTCTTCATTTCAGTTCAATGTAGATTGTTCTCTTTGAAGCAAAAATTGGGTAGTGTTTGTCAGTGTCTACAGGTAGGCTCATATCCTCTTTCCAAGCTCCCCAAATGCTGGGGGTCAGGAAGCTGGTTAACTGTGGGTGATGTAAGTGGTTTTAAATCCAGGTTACTGAGTAGTCTAACCTGATAGATATCCAAAAGTTATAGTCTCCTAATGGCTCCCAATTCCATGTTGGATATTCCATTTATAAATTTTAATTCCATTTTTCTTAGTCATGGTCATAAAAGTAAGGCTCAAGAATATTAGATGACTGGAATAAGTGATGAACCTGGAACCAGGGAAAAGATGTATTGTCTGCTATCATCTAGAACTTAACTACTGGCCTGATGATTCTGAGCATAGTGATGCTCTTACATGTGAGCATATAGCTGTCACAGGCAACATGGTTTTGTTGCTCTGATGCTTTGCTAATACAGGAGCCACTGTGGTCACATGCATTTCCAATATATGGAAAACCTGCAGCCTCTTCTGACAGCAGGTGCATAGTGCAGAAACAGTGAGGTATTCAATGAGGGCACCTCCCTCTCCTGCCCATCCTTTATGTCCATTGCTCCAATGTTCTATGCAATTTGGACTTCTCAGGACCAGGATGAGTGATTGTCTCTTGTTGTGAGCAATATTTACTATGCAATATGTAATGCAAATATTTAACAGGCCAGGGGGAAGAATACTCCTTAATGGTGTCTCAAAAATATTTGGAAACTCATTAGCCAATAGTAAACATCTATTTTCTATCTGGATAGAAATATGTTCAAGTTCAAGAATACTAATGGTTACTCAAAAAATATTTGGAAATTCATTAGCCAATAATAAACATCTACTTTCTATCTGGATAGAAATATTGAGTATCCTGTTTTGTGGTTTTGTCATTCCCAAAATTTCTTGTGCACATGGCAGCACACTTCTTTTCACACAAAAAGGCTCAGATCATTTCAAGCAAAAAATCACCTAAACATATAAACATGATGTATATAGTTTTAGTCATAATAAAGGGAATCTGAAATTATTTATAAATTATATTATAATAGATATATATATAATTTATAAATAATTTATAATAAGTATCACTGGATATGGATGCAAGATTTAATTCTCCTTATACTTTCTGAATAACAAGCATGATATTTTTCAGAAGAACAAACTAAAAGATATTCTCAAAAGGAGGAACTTTAGGGCCTCCCCAGTGGCGCAGCGGTTGAGCGCTGGGTTACAAAGCTGCCCATAGCCTCTGTAGCACTGGTTCGATCCCTGGCCGCCAGGTTAGGGTCCCACATGACATGCAGACCTCTCCTGCCACCTGCTGCTCCCCTCAGCAGTGTATTTCATCAGTCTGCCTGTTCTGCTCCCTATTCTGGTTCTGGCTCTGGTGAATTCTCTCACCCTCCCCCGCTTCTGACTGTACCCCAGTGCTTGTATAAATAAATAAATAAAACTTTTTAAAAAAGAGGAACTTTAAATAAAGATATCTGCTAAATATTTGAAAGGGGGCTACTTATTTATGTCATGGATTTCTTACTCTTCCCAATTAACACCAGCATCACTGTATCTAAATTGCAGACCAATTAAATCACTCAGATTATGCTGTATTGTATAGTTTGTATAGTTTTGTATTGTATACAATACATTAAGAGTATTGTTTTGTATATTGTATAATTTTGTATTGTATAGTTTTGTATTGTATACAATTCACTCAGAGTATTGTATGGTTTCAGGTAGGTCATAGGTTTAAATGGTCTGAAATAATAGTCTAGAAGTGTTGGTATCCCTCATATTATGTCCATCCCCAAGTCCCAAAGTTGTTAAGTTTTTTCCTGGAAAAAAGAGGGTTATATTAAAGGACCTAGAAATTATTATTGATATCTTTACCAGTACACCATGTTACTCATGTTTTCATTCCCATTGAAGAATGCTTCACTGTCCTTTCTAATCTTAATTTCATGTAAAACAAATAAAATAATGATCCTTATGTTACTTAATTGTTTTAATTGACATTACCTTAAAGGAAAATATAGAGTGCTGTTTGGGATTGAAATGACCACTCTAGTCATTTATCTTTATTACAAGATAAGTATTACTAAACTGACTTTCAACTCTATAGATTACTTTTAGAGACTTTTTTTTTTCAGTGAGTCTATTTATTCAGTTTCATTTTCATGAATTAGCTTATTGGTCAATACTGATTATCAGCAAGTTCAAAATTTGAATTTAAGTGCAATAAAAAATACTTCAAAAGCCCCTTTTCTAAATGTGTAAATATATTGAAATTACTCTAAATAGTTTGAAAGTACTAAAATGTAAATGTAATTAGTTTAGACAACTATACCTTATTATATTTTGTACTTGGAAGGTATAAGATGCAAAATATGGACATGGACTTGTCTGTCAGAGAGTTGTGTGGGTGGTGAAACTGTGGTGTTATATATCGGAGGCATCCAGGAACAGCAGGGAAGGGGTTAGAATGGGGAGAAGAGCACAATGAACTATGGTGGAAGACTATGGGTGCTTTGGTGGTGGGAAAGCGAGGTGACTACACCTGAAGGAGAAATCCTATGCTGTCAAAAATTAACAAGGATGTGAAACAATGGTACTTCATTTAAAGAAATAGAAATAAAGTAGATTTTATCTTCATTATTCATATTATTTATCACTTTCTAAGAAGAACTTTATTTTCTACTTCTAACCCATTAATTTCATAACTCTTTCAAATTTCTCTAAAATACCATGTTGATTTTTCTTTTTGACATTTTGTTGTCAATTTATGTTTGCTTCATACCTTGTGTAAATTTCCACATATCATCTCATAGCTCTATAATTAATCTTTTTTAAATTAAATTAGTTTATTTTCTTAAATTGTTGTTAATTTTTGGACAGTATTTGATTTCTCCCCTCAGGTTAGTCCCTGTTCTCCCACCACCATACCACCTGTGATCTATCTCCACCTTTGTGTTCTTCCCTCTTCCGTTTTGACCTCTCAACTTACCCCCCACCTCCTATAGGCTTCAGATCTATAGTCAGTTTGCAAGTTTTGTCTTTTTTCCAAACCTTCATTTGGTTTCTCTATATTCCACATATAAGTGAAACCATCCAATATTAATATTTTCCCTTTTCATTTATTTCATTTAGCATAATCCCTTCCAGCTTCATCCATGTTACTGCAAACAACATACGGTTATTTGATTACTGAGTAGTATTCTATTGTGTATATATACCACATCTTATTTTTTTTTAAGATTTATTTATTATGCATACAAGAGCTGGGGTGCAGGCCAGAGGTGTGGGGGGTGAGAGGAATCACCAGAGACAGAGTGGAGAACAGAACAGGCAGATTGACTAAAATACACTGCTGAGGGGAGCAGTGGTCGAGTTAGGAGAGGTCTGCCTCGCCATGTGGGTTGCTCTCTGGCCAGCTGGGGATTGAACTCATGCTACAGAGGGTGTGGACAGCTTCATGTGTTGTGTCTTAACCCCTTGCACCCCCAGGGAGGTGCCTATACTGCATCGTCTTGATCCATTCATCTATTTGGGGGTATTTGGGTTGTTTCTATCACTTATTAGGGAAATGCAAATCGAAACCACTATGAGATGTGCCACCTCACACTTGT